CACCCAAGTTTTGGGCCCTGAGCCAGAATCCGGGGGTCAAAGTTAATTTCCTTCCACGTTCCCCTTTCCCCAGTGGAAGGAAGAGGAAGGGGAAGGAGGGGCATTCCGGCGGCGAAGGAGAGGTGGCTTGCTTTCAGGGACCCGGCCTTTCTCTCCGTTCCTCCCTCCCGCCCCGCCGCCTCGCAGGCCTCCCTGGAGAATCGGGACCTGTGCCACTCCCTCTCTCGAGGAAAGGGTTAAGCGAGGGCAGGGTGGGAAGGGCCCCAGGAAACTCTGGCTGGAACCCGGGCGGGCGGGCGGGCTGGAGACAGTAACAGCACCGCCTCCCGCCCCCCAAGTCTGGGGACAGCCAGGCGCTGGCAGGCAGCCCAGACCCTCCTGAAGCCCCCAAGGCTGGAGGGGCCTCCCCGCCCGAGCTTTCAGACTGGCGTTGTTTATGAAAGCCCTTTTTAGCAAGTTTGAGTTATACCCTGAGGCTTTAGATGAGAGCGAGGGTCTGGTGGGTAACACAGCCTCTGAGGGTTCCCGTGGAGAAACGGTTGACCTTGACCCACAGCCAGCTGCTTGGCATCAGTGGTCAGGGACTAGCCCTGGGCTGGGGCCACCTCCAACACAAGCCCTTGAGGCATCCCCAGGACAAAGGACACCTTATGCAGCCCTGCGGCCTGAACAGAACCTGGCTCTGTGGAGGGCACAATCTGCGTCTGGGCCTCAGTGACCTTTATTTTCCATACCAAAACCCAGCGCGCTGTCTGGCAGGCACGAGGGTACCTATGGAGACAAAGGGCATTGGGTTTAAATAAGAGTTGCCCTGGAACATCTATGTTTGTGTGCCTACAGGCAAGGGCCAAGAGTGCCCCCTGGAAGGAAGGGGCCCAACTGGGGGAGGGGAGATGGGCTGACACCACTTCTAATCTGGACTGAACTCTGCCCAACCAGTCCCACTCCCACTCTGCTTCTCCCTAGATTGGAATCCAGATAAGGGAAAAGGTGATCTGTATAACCTCAGGCTCCAAGTCCTGCACTTCCTAACCTGCCTCTCTATAGCACCTTGAAGCAGACCCTCAGGGTGAACTTATCTCTCCACTCTTCACACCTCTATCTGCTCTCCCTTTAGCAAAAGAAGCCCCTGCCTTATTATTATGCTTCTCCTCTGAAGCAAGGTGCCAACCAAGTACCCCTGCTCCCTACTAATAAATACTTAACTCTTGCTGCCCTCTTCCAATTAACTGTGGACCTCAAGCATCTTAAAGGAAAAGTCTCAGCTTTAACACTGTGTTCAAAGAGGCATGTGGAGGGTGGAAAGAGGTCAAGCTTAGAGTCAGGTACTTGATAAATGGGAAAAAGAGGGTAATTTATTTAAACTCTTGTGCCTCGCCCTAACGGGTTTGGCTCAATGGATAGAGCGTCGGCCTGTGGACTCAAGGGTCCCAGGCTCGATTCCGGTCAAGGGCATGTACCTTGGTTGCAGGCACATACCCAATAGGGAGTGTGCAGGGGCAGCTGATCGATGTTTCTCTCATCGATGTTTCTAACTCTCTATCCCTCTCCCTTCCTCTCTGTAAGAAATCAATAAAATATATTTTTAAAAAAAAACTCTTGTGCCTCCATTTCCTTAGCTCATAAAAATTGAGACACAGGTTGTAAATCATACCACACAGGTACAGGTACTACACCTGGCACATTGCTGGCAAGGAGTAAACATCCAATACATTTTAGTTTTTTCTTCCTAGATCTTGTCTCTTCTCCACCACCTCAGCTCTGGCCACTACGTCACCATACTTCCCCAGAGATGCCCCTCCTTCCTACCCTTTTGAACCTCAATGTCTGGGAGATACCACTGGTCTGGCTCCTAGATCAGGCTCTCCTTACTCTTCCTGCTTACTCTTACTCTTACCCCATTCCCCTCCTGCCTCTCCATCGGCATGTAGTGGACTTAATTAGATATCCTGTTTCTAGTCCCAATTTACCAGTGATGAGTTGTATACTCTAAAACAGACAGCTAAATCCCTTGACCTCTCCAGGCTTTCTCAACTAAATTCATTCATTGGACCAAATTCATTCGCTCATTCAACAAATTCAACACATATTTATTCAGTGCCTACCATGAGCCAGGCCCTGGGAATGTAGCATTGACTAAGACAGGTATCTCCTGCCTTCATGGAATAGACAAAAAAGAAAAAAGAAAAGAAAGAAAACAGCTGTGATTTCAGAGAAAGATACATATTCTGCTGGAAATAAAAAGAGGTGTGGTGATGGAGAGTGCTCTGATGGAGACTCCATGGTTGAAGTGATACTTCGCTAGAGGAAGAACAAGAACATGGGCTCTGAGATGGAACACTCTACGCTCTTAACAAGTGTTGATCCAGGTTTCTCCCCAGCTTGAATACATTTAGCCAGGTTTCTCCCCAGCTTGAATACATTTAGCCATTCCTCGACTAGACTATTAGGTTAAAACTTGTTGGATTATGTTGGAGGCCTTCCTCTCCCTGACCCAAATTTACCTTCCCAAGCTTGTATGGAAAGATCCCAGATCAAGTCCAGATAGAATTAGATATGTCTAGGCATGTCTGTCAACAGGGCAGCACACCTTGCCAGGAGCTTGCTTGCATAAGGAATGAGAAACTTCTGGGAGAAAACTCATTGTGATTAAAGGAGGGGGCTGCCCTGTGATCCTGACAGTAATAGATCTTATCCCGCCCAGGCTTCAGAGAGACAGGCAGTTCTGTCACTAGACCTCCCCACCTAGCCCAGACCATGCCTAGCCCAGTTCCTGGGAATGGGGGTGGGGAGCCCTGGGACCCAGGCAGCCAGTTGGGAAACTTTGTGTGGTGTAACCCAGCGGGAAGACAGCTTCTCCCTGACTTTGCCAGAGTTCCTGAGCAGCTTGCCTTCCTGGAGAGCTCTCACCAGAGCAGAAGTGGTTTCCCAGAGGCACATAGAATGGTCAAGACTTAATGTGGTTCCAAATGAGCAGGTGGAGGCAAAAGCCAAGGAAACTAGAGTTACTCTGGGGGTTGGGGGAGGAGGGGAGATGGTGACACCCCCTGTTGTCAGAATCTGGGTAGGAAACACATGGTCCTCTCAAAGGGATGGCTGATGGTATTTTAAAGAGTAGATTGTTGTTGTTATTAATCCTCACCCAAGGATATTTTTTCCATTGCTTTTTAGAGGGAGTGGAAGGGAGGGAGGAGGAGGAAGAGAAAGAGGGAAACATCAATGTGAGAGGCACTTATGTAGATTAGTTGCCTCCTGCACATACCCCAAACAGGGCTGGGGATGAAACTGCAACTGAGGTATGTGCCTTTGATGATGAATCGAACCCACAACCCTTTGGTCTGAGAGATAATGCTCTAACCACTGAGAAAACTGGCCAGGGCTAAAGAATAGATCTTGTATGGGGATGTGGGCAGGGGTAAAGAAAATGAACAAGGAAATGGTGACTCTAAATGACACACTGAATCAGATGGATTTCATTGATAGTTAACATTTCACCCTAAAGCTGCAGAATATACATTCTTCTAAAGTACACATGGAACATTCTCAAAGATAGACCACATGTTAGGACACAAAACAAGTCTCTACAAATTCAAAAATATTGAAATCATATCAAGCATCTTCTCAGATTACAATGGAATGAAATTAGAAATCAACTACAGTAAAAACACTCAAAAACATTCAAACACCTGGAGGCCAAATAGCATGTTATTAAACAATGAATGGGTTACCAATGAAATCAAGGAAGAAATAAAAAAACTTCCTGGAAACAAATGAAAATGAACATACAACAACCTAAAATTTATGAGACACAGCAAAAGCAGTCCTGAGAGGAAAGTTCATAGCCCCACAGGCCTATCTCAAAAAAGGAAAACACACACACATACACACACACACACACACACACACACAAAAAAAATTAATAATAAACTATTTAACCCTACAACTTAAAGAACTAGAAAGGGAACAACAAGAAAAGCCCAGAGTAAGTAGAAGGAAGGAAATAATAAAGATTAGAGCAGAAATAAATAACAGACACTAAAAAAACAAAAACAAAAAAATCAATGAAACCAAGAGCTGGTTCTTTGAAGAGATAAACAAGATTGATGAACCTTTAGCCAGAAACAAAGAGAGAGGACCAAAATAAATAAAATCAGAACAAAAGAGGTGAAGTAACAACTGACACCACAGAAATACAAAGGATTGTAAGAAAATACTATGAACAACTATATGCCAACAAACTGAATAACGGGGATAAAATGGACAAGTTCCTAGAAAAATACAATCTCCAAAAACTGAATCAGGAAGAATCAGAAAACCTAAATTAACAACTGATGAAATAGAAGCAGTAATCAAAAAACGTACCGTAAACAAAAGCCCTGGTCAGGATGGCTTCACAGTGGAGTTTTACCAAACATTCAAAGAATAACTAACACCTATACTCCTCAAACTATTCCAGAAAATCCAAGAGGAAGGAATACTTCCAAGTTCTTTTTATGAGGCCAGCATTATCCTAATTCCAAAACCAGATAAAGACACTACAAAGAGAATCACAGGCCAACATCTCTGATGAACACAGATGCTAAAATCCTCAACAAAATATTAGCAAATCGAATCCGGCAATATACTAAAAAGATCATATACCATGACCAAGTGGGATTTAAGAACAGGAACAAGACAGGGATGTCCGCTTTTCACCACTCTTACTCAACATAGTACTGGAAGTCCTAGTCACAGTGATCAGACAAGAAGAAAACATGAAAGTCATCCAACTTGGAAAGGAGGAAGTAAAACTCATT